TGTAGAGACCTTCCTTTTGACCGTTTTCCCTAGTGTCAACGAGATGTGGAGAGTTTCCCCCACGGTCTCGCAACATCAGGAGGAGTAACATCCCAAACAAGCTGTCAAGATCATGCTTTCCGAAAACCTGGATGAATACGGAGACAAGCAGACCACTGCGTCGAAGGGACTAGGCCTACAAGAAAGCGAAGACAACGAAATGGGAGAGAGATCAGACTCGATACAAGACCCTCAAGGCAGAAGCCTACCTCAAAACCCGACAGGTATATCGCAGACATCATTAGTCCTGCCTGTCAGCAAAAAACCCCAAAAGTATGGGGCTTCATCAAAAGCCGGAGGCAGAAGTCGACAGGAGTGGCTCCACTCCGGAACTTTGAAAAGCTGCTGTATAGTGATTGCAAGACTAAGGCCGATATACTAAATGCTCAGTTCCAGTCGGTATTCACAGAGGAGGACACCACGAAATCCCCTTGGTCCAAATAAACTTTAAAAATAATTCAAGTATGATGGTTATTGAAAAACAAACTTGATTTCCCCAATTTGGCCCCGCCCCTCAAGGAAACAAACGCGAATATATCGCATCCTCCCAAAACACACACGCATACACTACACTCATGCATCTTGCACACAGGGGAGGCCGGCCTTAAATGACCATAGCTGTTAATAGGACATTCAACAATACTAAACCAAACCAAACCCGCCCCTCCTTACCAAAGGGCACACCCTTCATATAAACGAGTTCCTTAGCCTAGTTATGTTCCACACACATGTTTCAGAGTGAGTAGACTGCATATTTTTACATCAAACTCGCCTGCTACTTGTTCGAGGTTGGTATTGGGACAATGCTTGTGAGAGATTGAGTGGATTGCCCCTGACAGAGGCGGATACGTCAGACCTCGTAACTGCCACTAGAATATGTGGTCGGTAATAATGCTGAATATGAAATCTTCTGTTAGTCAGAACTCTCAGCATTGTAATTTCGTACCCCTGCATAATTGGGGATTTGTTTTTGTGCCCTCTACTTGGGGACCACAAAAAAAAGAGATAAATTTAAATATGCTGCACCAATTGCAAAAGTTTAGATCATTATTTTTCTCTCTAATTCATTTTTTCTACTTCTTTCTACTTTTTATTTCGTAGCGGCTTTCATGTCAATACGTCACATCTATCTTTATTGTTGAGCGTTTGCCCAAGTGAGGAAGGCAATTAGGATATCACCGTCTTGATTATGAATGTATGTTTTTGCTTGTATTTATGCATGTTTGTTTGTATTATGCTTACATTTTTTGTATTCTGTATGTACTTGTGTTTATGCATGCATGCATGTATGTATGTATGTGTTGGGCTTGTGTTCTTGTATTTTTTATTTATTAGTATTATTGTTGTGCCTTCGAGTCGTACGGCTCTATGTTAATAAACAATCTGAATCTGATAATTTTAAAACATGATGACTTGCCGCTTACATGTATGTAATCAATAGTTGCCAGTTGAGCTAAAAACAGACAGACAGACAGACGGACAACCTGATTAATATAGGGCCCTAATTAGTTAATAATCAAGCTTGGTCTTACACAAATCTTCCCTCTAGATGAATGAGAGGTAGGGTCATAAGAGGTCAGTATTCTGAACATTCATTAAAGTACTCTGAGACTTACCGGTTGATGTTTGATAATATTTCATAAAATGATGCTTAGACAATGTTGTTCAGAATGTTTTCACAAGAAGAGGCTGATACCAAGGGAAAACTCGCAAACAGGTGCAAACAATTACATTTTGGACTATTCTCCAGAAATTGTATGTCAGATTGTATGCCAGGCGGTGGCCTCCGATTGGTCGAAATTTAGACATTGTTCGATTTTGATGAAAATTGGTATATAGGTTTATTAGGGGACTGCGAATAAAACTGCATAAGTTTCGTTACCATACCAACCACACAGAGGCTTCTGTTTGGTCGAAATTTAGATATTTTTCAATTTTGATGAAAATTGGTATATAGGGGTATTAGGGGACTGTGAATTTAGCCGCATAGGTTTCGTAGCCATCGCCACCATATAACAACCACACGAAGGCTTCGGATTGGTGGAAATATGGATATTGTTCGATTTTGATAAAAATTGGTATATAGGGGAATAAGGGGGCTGCGAATAAAACGTCATAAGTTTCGTTACCATAGCAACCACTTGGAGGCTTCTGATTTGTCGAAATTTTGTTATTGTTCGATTTCGAGGAAAATTAGTATATTTAGGGGACTGCGAATTCAATCACATATGTTTCGTTGCTATAACAACCACACAGTGACTTCTGATTGGTCACAATTTAGAAATTGCTCAATAACACTCGAATTTAGTATGTTCATTGTAGGTGTAGTATAGCAATGCGATCCTTTTCTGATGCATCTTTGCGACTATGAGGGCAGTTTGGGGGACGTCTGTAACTTGTTTTGCTTTAATTTGATTCTTGTAAATCTGATTTTTAGCTCACCTGGCCCGAAGGGCCATGTAAGCTTATGCCGTACTGCGGAGTCCGACGTCCGTCCATCAACTTTTTCTTTTGAACGACTTCTTCTGAAGAACAGGATGACCTAGGGTAATGCTATTTATCCAGTAGGTACGTTGGATGGAGTGCTATACAGTTTTTCATTACAGCTTACTTTCAATGTCACAGGGGTGAAATATATTATAAATTTCAAACAACAATATCCAAAAGAACCATTTGGAATAGAGTCATGATACTTGGTATGTAATGTGGACCAGCAGTGCAAATCTTATCCTTTCTTACAGTAATTAGGTTAAAGGTCAACTGTAAGTGCTAGTCGGGGGTCAAACGGCAACATGGGTTAAAATTTTAAACAATCTTCTTCTCAAGTTTTATAAGGCCCAGGGTCATGCTATTTGGCCAGTTGGTACCTGGGATGGAGTGCTATAAAGTTTCCCATTAAAATGGCCTTGACCTAATTTCAAGGTCACAGGGGTCAAATATGTTAAAAACTTCAAACAACAATATCTTTATAACCAATTGTTCCAGAGTCATGATACTTAGGTATGTTTTGTAGACCAGCTGTGTATTTGTTTTTCTAAATTTCAGTAATGTTATCAAATGTCAAGTTTAAGTGCTAGCCGGAGTCAAAGGTCAACGTGGGTTAAAGGTTTTAAAACTAAAATTTCAAAATCCAAACAACAATATCTTCCGAACCGTTTAAAGATGTTAAAATGTTTTTGTTCTAGTAACCAAATTTGGTCGGAAGATACCTAGGTCAGTTTCATGAAACAAAAGAAACAGTGGAGCTATACTGGCTTTCTTGTTAAAAATACGAAATATTTTAGTCAAATGTTCTCCTTGATTTACCAATATTAGAGGGCATGGAGAGGAGGTAGCCTATTGGTATCCACTGTTTATCATAAAAGGCTAATGGTGGACTCCTGCAATTCGTGGGATTCCTTCTGTGTCATCAACGAAGAATGTCTGGGTGTAGCTGATTTATATTGGTCAATGTTTATATCAGCAATTATAGGGGTTTCCCACTTTAGTTGTTTCTTAGAACATGCAGTAGGAAAGAGCAGATATCTTCTCAATCCCCGACATACAGAACCACAAAGGACATAGAGCTTGGATGTCCGATTATGATCCAAACAAATTAAGCACAATCTAAGTATTACCAAGATAGGTAAAGCATATACTTCTTCGGGGAAAAAATGGTGATCACGATACTTTGAAGCCAATGCCATACCATTGTTTTCATGAAATCAACGGTTCAGGGATAATGACAACAATTTACTTAATACTCTGCTGCTTTCTAACAAAACAGAGTACCAATAAACAGGATCAATTTTAAATCATTCTTTACATTTTCCTAATACATATATTTACACACAAAAATACATTGATTAAGTAAATGAGCTGTTGCAATTATCCTATCCTAGTATTTCCACAACCCTACTTTCAATAACAAATCCATGTACTACCGAGAGATATTTTAGAAGCATAACTCCGGACAAGAGCATCTGATCTTCCATATCTGGACTCCCAAATGGTCTTCTGACCTTTCCGCTTAACACTGAAATCATTTAAACAGTGAACACTTAGTTAGCCAAATTGCGATTTGAATAAATCAGTAGTTATATATTATCAACAAACTGCTCTATATTGTATTCTCATATTTTACTATACTTTCCTTGTTATGAATTTCATCTTATTTGTTGGTATTTGTTGAGTGATGGTAAAGGAATTTTAATAAATAAAATCGTTCTAGAGTATTATTGGGCCAATGGGACTCCATGTTGTATACATGAAGGGTGTTGTCCCCCTTGGGGGGAAAAGGTGCAAGGCCAAACAAATCCTACTACTTGACTATTAGTACAGAGATTTTATTCAAAAATGGTCTAAAGTATCGTTAGGCCAAGAATGGAACTCAACGTTGTATAAAGATTGTGGTATCCCTGGGTTAAGGGGCTCAGGGCCCCACTGGAGATATTAAGGTTATTTTTTTTTAAATCACAAACTTATAATATATTGTTCAATATTTCGATGAAAATTAGTCTTTATGAGTATTTGGCTAATAGGAACATGATAGCAAGTGTTTTGAAATGATCATTTGCCATTGAAACCAACATTTTGGGTTTTTTCCATGAAAAGACATTTAATCCGCTCATGCAACTACGACTGCTAGTGGTCCGGCTGACCCATTAGCATGTTTACAGTGGAGATACCAACGCTATGTAAAAACAAATACTGGGTATGGACAGCTTACAAATATGCTACCCGTATGGTCAGTGTTCAGCCCGTGACCATCGGGATTTGGTACAACATCATAAAGTTGAAATAATTAAGATTCTAACGCTATAATCATACTCCAGTCCTTAAGAGAGTCGCTATTATATTTAAACGCTTCTTTCCTAACAATTCTATATAATTACAATGCACTTAAATTTATATATATATATATATATATTTGATGACAATATAACATAAATGACAAAGGAAGTCATTTCATTCACTATTATATCAATTTATTCATTTGGTTCCTTTTGCAGACGAGGAAAATAGTAAATATGTTTTTTGTGTTTGGTTAGCTTGACATAATAATAATAAGAAGAAACATACCGAAAACAAAGGTCCTTTTACCGTTAGTGAATAGCCCTAATTAGCTTATGAGTCATTATATTTATTTGCTACGAAACGGAACACGACACCATCTACCATATTCGGATAACCATTCTTCTAATAGATTACATTAATTGCCTTCATTTCTAAAAATAATGTTTAAATAAAAATACCTACCAGGGACCATATGAACGAAATATTTTACCAGAACAAATTACAAATGCACCCTCGCTACTGTTAAGTTCTGTAGGAGATGTTTGGTACAATTGTATTTCTTGATATTTTATTCTTATATTCTCTGTTTAATGTACTTTTTGTAAATCATCTTATCACAATATAAACAAACCAAACACATTTTACAACAGCGTTCCACGCTATAGTACAGTCAATGGTAAGTTCTCTATATTTGGAAGAAATAACTATGGTTAAATTGTGTTTTAACTAGTACCGAAACTTGCATGTAAGTTCGTAGTTAGTTAGATGCACTTTTGTATAACAACTTCTGTGAAAATAAGGTACGGTTTGTGATCAGAGTGAGCAAACGCATACGCCTGTAATCTGTTAAAGTATTGTTCAACTATCATCTGTTTTTCATCCTCCGTACGAGAAAAGGACAATCCCCCACGAATCACATGATGAAACCAAGGGAAGACAGAAGCAACAACTTTTCGGGAATATTCCATCTTTTCTGTCTCATCTGAAATAAAGCGAAATGAGAAACTATGTTTGTTTCCCTTTCTTTTTCTTTCGCATAAATCGAAATATCAACTTTGGCAGTATGTTTTTTGCAGCTTGATTGTCATCAGTGTGATATTTCATGCTTCCTAAAATATAACATTATACTGTTTAGTTTCGATGCGTTTTTGGGCAAATATACAGCAAAATGAAACTAGACTAGTTCACATGTGATACTAACGCGAGTCTGTCAAAAGTCGCAACAGTTATTTAAGTGAGCTTATTCTTATGACCGTCCATAGCACAATGTGTCACCTTCACAAGATGTTAGAATTATGACATCAAATAAGTTAATATCGAAAGCTTATGATATGTTTGTACCTATATGAATTGGAACCTAGTCCTTACAGAACACAAAACAATGCAACATTTAATGTTTTTAAACCAACATAATAGTCATAGAATAAATTCAAAGTTTAACTACTGCTCTGGGAGGAATAGCACTTACCTTTCTCGACAATATCGAATAGTGGATGTTGCAGATAGTGTTTCATTGATTTGACAGACACTAATTCCAATCCAAGTTTATCGACCTCTGGTAAGGTACTACTGAACGGCTCTTGAAAATCAGCTGCAGTTCTCGTATAGTGGCTATGAAAGTTTGTCGCAAGATATTCTTCCTGTAGATATGAATTAACCGTTACAATATCAATAAAAAATATTTGTATGTACTGAACTAATATGTAGTTTGTTCCAGTGTACATCAATCGTCGATTGTACTCAACTAGATATGTATTCTTAACTTGAAATAATTAAAAAATAAATATTGCAATCGCTGGCTTTGCTTACAGTTTAAATATAAATACTAAACAGTTGTTCATATGAGGCATTTACCGATTTGTTAAAAAAGAAAAAAACAACAGTGCTTCCAACAGACCTGCGTGATCACGCCATCCCTTGCCATATCAGACACAAATTTGCCCAGGTTGTGATTTCCCTTATCTACGTGCGACGTCTCATCATTATCATCGTTTAATGACGCGTTAAGTGATACAAGAAATCCTCCTGAAAAGTCAACAAAATTGAATGTAATTACGGTAAAATTTCATTGGCCTTCATTATATTGTTTTAATAATAAAACTAATCCCAATATTCTTTTCGAAATAGTAAGTGTCTATACAATTATAAACCTATCTTGAAACTGTTGTTCTATTCAAAAAGATATAACTAACCATTTTCACGCTTGTCTTTCACTTTTTCGTTAGTTTGACGTAACTTCCTTTACCTATTTACCTTTTATTGACCCTGATGATCACATCTTGGTTGTTTGGCCGTTACGCTTGTTATAACAATTATAAAGGATGCCATGCAACATAAATGCAAGCTGCATTACTGGGTATTTACATATTTATGATGACTTATATAGATTTTCATGGAACATTTACTAGTTACTCTGTAAAACGTCATTTAAGGGATTATTATAATAGGATAATTGCAACAACTGGTCCACCCGTTGTCTGTATAATGTGACTGAGCGAAATGCTGTGCTGGGGGCCTTCGGCCTAGTATTTCAGTGAGATAGCACAATAAAGTCGGCATCAGATCCGTGCTATCGCAGGCAATTACACTAACATACACTGCCTCCGGCACAAATACACTCATACACGCATACACACCACACCTAAAGGCACGTCCTTAAACTACCTTGGCTGTTAATAGTGCGTTAAACAAATTAAACCTAACCAATCTACCATAGATATTACGCTTTTCACTAAATGTTTTTGGTAACTGTGATTTTCTACTGTTTATAATTCATAACTTATTCTAGTTACACAAGAAAAGGATATCACGTACCATCATTTATTTTCCCCTTGTTCCATATCCTAAAGAAAAAGCGTTATTGTCAAAAACATTGCCTTTACTTTAAATGAATTGCACACAACATCGCAGATTTGTTTATTTTTTGTTAAACGTCCTATTAACACATAGCGGTATACAACATTGTCATTTTGTGTTTACGTTGTCGTTTTTTGTTCTATTTGAATTTAACAGCCGCATCTTAGCTTGTTGTGGTCCCTGCAGGTAAGGCGAAAGAAATGTACCTGCTGCCCCCATTGCATGATCGTAAAAGGCGACTAAATTTTGGATCTGATCTTTTCTCTTCTTTCTGAACAACTTTCTTATTCCTAATTTCTCCCTTGACAATGCCTCACTTTTGGCCTTTAGTTGAGCGTTAGCCGCTGTAAGGAAGGCATTGAGGCATGTCCCCTGGCCGAGACCTACCAGAGTCTGTACAAATGGTAGTTTCTACTCCTGCTTAACGCTCAGCAATTTAGGAGTTGGACGACTGGTTCGCTCGTTCTCATTATAATGTGACCGAGTGGGGTGTCCTGCTGAGTGTTTTCGGCAGTATGTTTCCGTGATGTAGCACTATAAAGTCGGCATCAGTTCCGCACTATCACAAGGAGACAAATATGAATATATGGCAGCCTCCCAAAACGCACACGCATACACTACACGCATACATATTGCACACACGGAGGCCGTCTTTAAATGACCATAGCTGTTAATAGGACGTGAAACTATACTAAACCAAACCAAACCATTGTAAAACCAACGTCATATACCAGGTTTCAGTTCTCGTCCCCTTGCAATCACGAATGCCCGCCAATCAGTTTTGCCTTGTTCTCTCATCAGTCGTTGTTCGTTGTTATCTGCCTCACCCATAAAGACACCGTTTGCTATTCGACAAACTCTGAAACAATTACATATATGTATAGACAAAAACGAAACGAACATACATGTGCGCATTTGCGTCCTTTACATAATACCATAATAAAGTATAAATGTCTTAAACTACTTTCGAAATATTTTGGTTAAAATAATTTATTACCTTCTATAAACTGTTTGATCTTGGAAGTTTATCAAAGTCAACCTTTTTTAAAACCTGATAGCCAAACATCTAAGTACCCTACAAATGAAATATTTAGACTCCAGACCTCGTAGAACGTGAAAAGAAGATATTCTAAAGCTAGAGCTAAACCCAAAATAGTGTAGTTGGACTTTGACTCCTACTGAAAAAGGGTGTTGACCTTTGAACCCCAAATGTTTCATGAGAAAAATATGCAGTGTCATGCCCTTCACACAGTATAAAAATTAAATGTTAATGACTGAAACAGTTTTTGAAATATTTTGGTGTAAAGAAATTTGACATTTGTTTTAGATATTTCACCCCTATGGCCTTGAATGTTGATCAAGGTCAACTATTGTTTGAAACATGATACCTAAGCATCTTATCAACGAACAGATCAAATTGCAAGACTCTAGACCTCGTAGAACTTGAGAAGAAACTTTTTAGATGTGTTACCCCCCTAAAAAGCACTTTTGAACTTTGACCCCTACCAAAAATCGGAAGTTGACTTCTGAGACAAAAATGTTTCCTTAGAAAAATATGCGAATTCACACCCTCTAAACCATACTTAATGTAATGTAAATGCCTGAAATAAATTTCGAGATATTACGAGTTTTTTTTTAACATTTGACCTTGTTGACGTTTAATGTTGATCAATGTCAACCATTTTTTATAACTAAATAGCCAAACATTTCAGCTCCTTGCACTTCAAATATCCAGACATTAGAGGCCCAAGAACTAAAGAAGAAGATATTTAAAGTGTGTTCCCCTATGAAGTGCCTTTGAACTTTGACCCCTACCGAAATCGAAAGTAGGTCTTGGACACAAAAATGTTTCCTAAGAAAATATTTCCAAAGATGAACTTTATACCTTCAGCCATTAATGAGATATTGCAATTTAAGTAAAAACGGATATGAAGTCATGGCGGCCTCTTTTTCAGTGAAGTCAACACGTTAACAAATGAGGAAGGACACCTGGGGAAACCGTAGTATCATAGTTAAATGAATTTACCATCCTAAACATAGAAGAAAAATAGGTTTTATCGAAGGAATTATTCAAAATGGTGTAGGACGTTAACGGTTAATTCACTGGGAGAGAATTCCCCATCAACTGCTAAAAGAATTTTTCCAAAAAAAAAAGAAATTTGAAAAAGTTTTTGTGACCAAAGAATATCTACAAATAATATAATTTACATGCATGCTTTTTTATCAATGTTTTTTAGTTGTGGCCGTTTTTTTAGATTTTGACCTATGAGGTCATGGCGGCCATATTACAATTTTGACCTAATTGAAAATGTTGTAATCACACCTATAGGCGATGGCCAACAATAAACTTGAAACACTATCAACACGTCCGCTTTAGATAGAAAAGATAATGACATCACAAAATCATGACAGAATAATGAGAATAAGAATTAGAAACATAACAAAAACAAAAGGTCTTTCACCATGAGTGAAATGCCCTAATAAGAGTTTTGTTATATGAGTGTTTCTGTTCGAGAAATTTAAATTACACATTTTTTTCTTTTTTAACGTCATACATACAATTTGTGTAGCCGAAGCTTGAGATGTATTCATTTGCGTATTGATTGCATGGACATATCAATAATCAGCCGTTTTACTTAAACAGTTAAAGCATTAAAAGACAATTATGATTCATCTCTGTCTATTTCGCATGATCACATTAAAAAGATGAAAGTGAATTAAAAAACTCATATTTACATCAATGAAGTTAACTATGAATCTGTTACGATAAAACATACTGTTTAGACAAGTAATGTGTAGCTACAGCGGACATTGCCAGGTCCAGAGAATTATCAGGAAGACACTGTTTATACATAGTTCTTGGAACGATTACTGGGTAGACGTTACTGCATCCCGATAGTCCGGAATCCTGTCTGTCGCCTGAAGACAAATTATACATAACGAAGTATTTATAAATATCTAAATGTATGACACTATGATTTTTTTTTCAATTACTTTTAATTACTTTTTTTATAGTGGACAACTTAGTAACAGCTAATATAAATTTGCAGTCTTCGATATTTGTACATCAACATACATACCGGTTTCCTTGTTTTAAATTATCGATATGTGATTAAATGATCGATGTTTATAATATTTTGCTATTAAAACAGTAAAAGAGAAACTCAAGCAGTAAGCAAATCAATCGTTAAACAAAATGTAGCAACGGCAAACGACAAGGTCGGTTTTAAATAATAATGCAATGTACAACCTTGGATGACTTTGCTTAGAAGATTGAAGTCGTTCATCGGTTGGTCGTTATAGTACACTACAATGGTCTGCTCCTGCCCAAGGTCTGTTTGTACGATATCTGTAATAGCATTGTAAGTTAAACAGCTGCAATGTAAAGATATCTCTTCCAGGGTTATTTTCCCGCGTTAAAAGACGTTGAACACCAAATGAGTCGGAGCCTTTGGTGCCAGTACCATTGTCAATAATTACTTTGATAATCAACGCGAAATTGCCGTAACATATTGGAATACAAATATTGGCCAACTAAGGCTTGCCAATTTATCTTTTAGTGTTAGAACTATGTCCCAATGTGTTCAATTCACATTAAACGTTACAAGCTTTCATCCATGCAAACAGTGAGGTTCCGTCCGCGATCTTCGATGCTCATATTTACCTATCACTTCTTTGACGAGGGAAAGAGAAGCTTTTCCGTCTGCAGTTCCAAAATCTGCAATGCATATCGGTTGATCTGCCTGGTACGATGATCTCAATTTGAGTATTTTTTCTTTACAGGCAAAAACAACGGTACGGTCTGATTATCACACACTACGTTTATAACAAAGACATTTGTTAGGTTACTAACGCCACCATTGATCGATACATTTTCCTTGGTAATACATTTTGTTGTCTTTGTTATTGTTACTGCAGCAACAAGCAGTACATGTACAACCATAATATAAAAGTATCTGACTGATTATATTTTCAGGGGCATGAAAGCGATCAAAATATATCTGCTGACCAATTGCAATAGTTGGATCTTTATTTTTCTCTTTTCTTCTTTTGTTTCCTGGTGGCTTTTTTGTAATACCTAACTGTTTTGCTTTAATGTTCAACGTTCGCTCAGAAATGTAATGGGGTGTGGATCAAACCTGTTTCCGGTTGTGACTCAGAGAGTTGTCCCTGCAGGTAGGGCGTACGAATTGTACCTGCTGCCCCCATTGCATGATCGTAAAAGGCGACTAAATTTGGGATATATCTTTTCTCTTCTTTCTAAACAACTGTCTTCTTCCTAATGTCTCCCTTGACAATGCCTCACTTTTGGCCTTTAGTTGAGCGTTAGCCCCTGGTCGAGACCTACCAGAGTCTGTATAATTGGTAGTTTCCACTCCTGCTTTACGCTTAGCAACTTAGGAGTGGGACGACTGGTTCGCCCATTCACAGTATAATGTGACCGGGTGGGGTTTTCTGCTGGGCGTCGTCGGCAGTATGTTTCAGTGAGGTAGCACTATAAAGTCGGCATCAGTTCCGTCACAAGGAGACAAACACAAACATATGGCAGTCTCCCAAAACACACACGCAAACACTACACACATGCATCTTGCACATAGGGGGGGGGGGCGTCCTTAAATGATCATAGCTGTTGATTGGACGTTAAACAATACTTAACCAAACCAAACCAAACCAAACCCTGGAGTTGTAGCCAAACCCAAGTGTTAATTATAATATCATGACTGCATTCGTCTCTTTATGCCAAGCAGTTGTACGTATATTTTTGGGGGCTGATATGACTGCGTTTGTTTTTGTTTGCCCAGCAATTAAATATATACCTTTTGGGTGGGGATCTCAACCGTTCCTTGACTTCTACAAATTGACCAAACTTGATCTGCTGCCCTCATTGCAACAATTGTATTTTTTTTTCATTTCCTGTCTTTCCTGTCTAATTTCTTTTCTATCNTTCGTCCGTCTGTCCTTCCGTCCTAGAAGTTTGTCGTGTACAAGGTCATCTTAGGACGGCAGAGTACAAGAAGAAGGTCATTATGACCTCACTATTACCTATGCTTTGACTTTTGACCTTTAATTTCATTAAATGTTTGGCCGGGGCATTTCTGCTATTATATTTCACATTGAGTAACCAGTTTTGGTGTACAAGGACATCTTTAGCTTTTGGATGGGGATCTCAACCATTTCGAAGTTATTGCCAAGGGGTTAAGTCTCAAAGGGTAGGCCAGACATCGGGGCAATCCTGAAATCATATGTGCATTAGTCTTTTTATACTCATCAATTGTTTATATGGTTATATGGTGTTTCCAAGTTGTGAATCGGAAACAAGGTCACTAGGTATGTGACCACCAAAGGGTAATTGCTAATATCATCATTGTTTTCGTCTCTTTATGCCAAGCATTTGTATATTTAGTGTCGGGGGGGGGGGGGGGGTTTTAACCCTTCAAAANTGACCCTCGGACTCAGTCTCCAAGGGGTTGGGCAAGGCCCCAGGACCATTCTGAAATTATATTTGCAATAATCTCTTTATAAACCAAGTTATAAACTGTATGGTCCCACCCCTTAAACCGTGGAATCAGCCTGTCCATTTGTACCATTTTTATTCACCACCACCTAATGGTGCTTCACACAAAATATAGTTGATATCCATCACTTATTTTCAGGGAAGTCGCCTAAAGCAAAATAGCCAAATTACTCTTTTTTGCTCCGTCCCTCAGCCCCCTTTGGTGTCAAACCTACCATTTGTACAATTTTGAATCCCCACCACATAGGGATGCTTCGAGTCAAATATGGTTGATATATATTGCTTAGTTCCTGAGAAAAAGTCGCTTTAAGCAATATCTAACCATTTGTATTTCTTGGCCCTGCCCTCAGCCCACTGGGAAGTCTGCCAAACCATGTGTACAATTTTGAATCCCTAACACTAAGGAATGTTACCATTTAAATATGGTTGATATGCATTGCTTAGTTCCAGAGAAGGAATCACTTCAACGAATATAGCCAAAAAAACACTTTTTGGTCCCACCCCTCAACCCCACTGGGAGTCAGTCCCACCATTTGTACAACTTGAAAACCCACCACCTAGGGGTGCTTTCAGTCAAATCTATTTAAATTCCAATCAGTTGTTGAGAAGAAGAAGTTGTTTGAAGAATTGTTGACGTGCGGACGGACGACGGACGCCACGGTATGGCATAAGATCACCTTGGTCCTTCGGACTGGTGAGCTAATAATCATTAACATATTCAGTTTACCGAACTGTTATCAAAATAACAATATGTGATAACAATTAAAACCCTTATCAGATTTGTACATTATAGGCGCACAGCCTCTTTATCTGTGGGGATACAAAACAGGATCAGCAATTCATTTCTAAAGTGATCACTCACACCACGTGTCATGCTTGTTGGCTGAAAATATTATGTTTCCATTTTATACTTTGCGCTTGGAATACAAACAAACAGACATACAATGCAAGACACAACATAACTTGCACTTATTATTTTGTCGTTATGTTTTAAGCCACATTTCTAGCAGTTATTTTGGGGGAGCCATATGAATACAAGCCACCATTTATATTATCATCGCGTAATACAATACCAAGTCTTATATTCATGAAATGGTATCAACAATCGGTATGTCGAAATATTCTCGTTGAACGTTGTGTATTTTCGACGTTTGTCTCCTCTCAGGACGTGTTCTTTTACTTATACAGGGATTCATTTTCCGATAAATGAAAATTTCAAATAATATTCGCGTCCAAATCAAACTTAATATACAACTTTCATACTAAACTAACAAATGTCTTTTCGATTGTATATTAGATAATTTTAACATACCTAAACCTTCCATAATCGACGCACGACAGAGATTACCAGCGTGGCCATGTACACTGTACATGTCGTCAACATCTTTATTGGGCATGGTCATCATCTTCATGTTCGGAAAATAACTTAAAAATACAGAAACAGACAAATATTTAAACATTTAGATACTGAGAAAGGCGCTATTGACCAGTATTAATACAACAAATGAAAAAAAAATATGGTTAACGATTTAGTCCGTCTATCATGCTCATATGGGCGGCCGTTTTAGGATAAAATACATAAACTACTTAAGTGCAAAAACTTTTGCACTTAAGTGCAAAAGATTTACACTTAAGTGAAAAAACTGGACATAATGGCAAAAAATCACATAATGGCAAAAACTTTTTCACTTAAGTGCAAATCTTTTGCACTTAAGTACTGAAAGTACTTAACGCAAAAATACGTCTTTTGTCATTATGTAGTAATCTGTTTACATTATGTACCTTCGCACTTAAGTACAAAAGATTTCCTCTTATCCCTCTTGTCACAATGGATGGTTCCGTTTACCGATGTATTGCGCATGCCCCAAATGTCAAAATGGCGTCGGAGGTTGAGGTGATTCCGGTAGGCTTATTAGAATTTATTGCGAATGTTAGTTACTGCGACTATCATTGGAATTGTCATGTAGGAAAATTTGGACAGACGTTAAAAGGCAAACATGTTGCGTGGATTCACGACAGAAATGCAATGGTTGGCAGCGTATTAATTGGCAAACTACACAGACTCGCAACGGCCAGCGTAGCCTGAATCCTGCGTCATACCACGGACTTAGATACGAAGGTAAATGATGTCACTTTAGCCGTGTAACAATATTGGTTACTAAAATCATGACAACTTGTGTCGAAATAATGATAAGACGTAAACCCATAGGCCTACCACAGACCTTAAACGATAAATGAATGAGAGGTTAGCCTAATAAATAAAGTTTAGAGTCCTAGAGTAACAAAAAAGTAATAACCATCCTAAATAACTAACATTAAACTACTAAGCTTAGTTATTTAATTTCATATATAGAGAGATAATTTGAATGTGTACAAAAGTTAATTGTGACTAATTTTCAATCAAATTGTAAATTATATATAAATCACTTGTGTTAATTTTCAAAAGAAATTTAAATAAAGATAAAGATATATGTATAATCAACTTGTTAGTTTTAGCAGGTCAATTCTATAGTCTTTATATGCCTTTAAGTAAATTATAGCTTCTTCTGAGCCAGTTTAATTCATCAATAGTACAATCAAGTGATAGACTGAATAAGTTTTTTGTAAAATTGTTTCTGTACAATACAACAATGTCTGTTTTTTTATTCATAATCAAAAAATAATTCCTCATTATTGTCAATTACGTACTCAGATTTTGTAAGAAAACATTTAACTTGTAAGCTGCCACATTTTAAAAAGCAGTTACATAAAACTGTAATTATAAACTGTAATTCCATACAGATTACAGATATTTCCATGCTTTTCAGTACACCCTCATCTCAGCAAGAAATTTTCCCAAATGACCCCTCTCATTTAGTACATCATTCTCATGAAATACAGTTAATACTTATAATTCTACTTGACAACATGCATATTGGTGTTATGAAAATATATGGGAACATGAAGAATAAAAACCTAAATGAAACTGGTTTATTTACCTTGCCAAAATAAACAAAAACAAAGTTGTGATTATCAGGTGAAGTTGATAATTTTGTATTCTGAAATTCTTAGCCTAAGTCAATTAATTTAATTAATTAATTAATTAATTTCAATCTAACAGGCCATAAGGCCCACTTGCAGGTTAAGAAGACATAACAGTTCCAATAAATTACATACTACAATATCACAGACCAAAGGTAAAATGATCAAACATTACATACCTGACACATAAAATACAAACAGACGATGCGTAATGAATTAAAAACAAATCTGTTTCATTTCTGTTTGAAACGTTTTGAGTAATTCTCTAAAGAGACTATCTGTCTGAACATTAAGGAAGCTAAACATTTTCCGACACCTTATTAAAACAGTAAAACACTGTGTTTCCTTACGTCAATACGACTCTTGGTGGGATAAAAACGCACCGCACAGCTGGACCTAAGAGATCTGTTTGGAACCATTAGATTATTTTTTTCAATAAGATATGGACAGTCGAATATACTGTTTACACACTTTAAAAGGAACAATTGTTCTTAATATATTCTACGGTTTAAAAGAGGTGGTAAATTAGAATAAACACATATTTCTTCATAAAACATCACAGTCAATCTTTGCTTTAAAGCATAAAATTTAAGAAATTTTCTCTGAACTACTTCTAATTGATGTGCCAGAGTAGTTTGATATGGACACCATATTTCACAAGAATTACAATTAGAATGACAGTAAAATGGCATGAAAATTAACTGAATGACCTCAAAATTTCACATACGCTCCAAAACAAGGCTGGTAAACTGGCTATCTGTCTGTCAAAAATCAATATTGAATACAATATTTCACGAATCATAGCACATCGCCCTATTTCAATATATTAGTTCATAGTCAATAATTACTGCCATTATCCAAAATTTATAACTGAAATGGCGAAAAAGCATTAATTAAGCAGCACGTACAGCACGTGTTCATTGTTATTACAGGCTGTAACGAGATTACAAATGACACTTTGTACATACTCCCGTCTTGCCGAAAACGTCTAGCTTCTTCTTAAAAACCTTCTCGAGCTTTCCACAATCCCATCTTCGTCTAGACTGTTCCTGGCTGTAGCAATATTGTTGATATCATTGTTCACGGGGGTTGCCACCTCCATGTGACACGATTTGGTGACATGTGCTGGCTCCAAAATTAACACGAGGTATTACAGGAGCCGCCATATTGTTTACGCATCGTTAGGGCACACTGCTATAGTATGCACGATTTGATTGGTCGATACGAGCTTGAAAGAACACTGCTCATTGGTCGACCAATTATTGAGCTCTATTTCGGAATAGTCGAAAATGACTTCGATGGGTGAAATTTTTGTGGAAACCTCTCCGTGTTTTTTGCACTTAAGTGCAAATAAGTTTTTTTACACTTAAGTGGAAACATTTTACACTTAAGTTTAAAAAGCACATAATGATCATTTGGGTTTTTTGCACTTAAGTGCAATTAAGTTTTTTTACACTTAAGTGGAAATATTTTAAACTTAAGTTTAAAAAGTACATAATGATCATTTGGGTTTTTTGCACTTAAGTGCAAATAAGTTTTTTTACACTTAAGTGGAAATATTTTACACTTAAGTTTAAAAAGTACATAATGATCATTTGGGTTTTTTGCACTTAAGTGCAAAAGTTTTTGCACTTAAGTAGTTTATGTATTTTATCCTAAAACGGCCGCCCATATGCTCATACTAAGTACGGAATTTAACACTGGTTGGCTTCCAACCTAGGAAGCTACCAGCCTCATATTATGAATCTATGCCTTTTGGTTTTTCCGAACAAGTCGTTTGAAGTGTTATTGACCTCTGTGACCTTGAAAGTATTTTAATGTTATGTTAATATTCAAACTGTTTCGAGCTGTATCAAACGAAGCCACCAGCCTCATGTGATTATTAAAAATACTGAACGACAGAGCGAGGTGAGGAATGAGTAGGCGGGAGTGTCGGGATCCAGCTGGTTTATCAAGTGTCAATTTATGAAATCCGCTATTGTTTAGGTCTTGTGCGTCCTTACTTACTGATATCAGCATTTTGTCGCCTTCTTTAATCATTTTATAACTGTAAGTGTAAACACCGTGACTATCACCAGTCATACAAGGCTTTGATACTTAACAATTTGAAATATGAATTTTATAAAAAAAAAACAACAACACACACAACAAATATCACCGTCGAAAAAATACGAACATGATTTGTTTATGCAATTAATGTGCCTCTATCACGGACTTGAATGACAATAACAATAACTCTCTGGCCATGCATCATGTCAACAAATCACTGTAGCAGGCGACATACTTGAATAAGGTAATACTGTTACACTCACACTAGCTATTGGCGCCCTATGTTTAGCATTAGCTATGCTATATCAACTTAAATATACACACATGTATATTAGGACGAATTTTAAGTAATGGGTTCTGCATATACTATACGATACACTATACTATAAGATTTACAAAACACCACTATTTTGTAAGTATGTTGTACAAAAGCCCGTTCTCCTAGCAGGATAGCAAGAGCTGCTTGACTACGCCTAACAGCTATAAACACGTGTATCATGGTAATATGTTGTATTTTTGAATATTCAAATTTGGGGGGGGGGGGGGGGGGGGAGGGGTATAAACATTTTCGCAACAGCTAAGGCCGAGTGTTTTGTATTAGCTGAATAAGAATACGGGAATAGTAACAAGAGGCCCAATAGGCCTGCATCGCTCATCTGGTATTAATCTCACAATTGTAACCTTAAAAGTGCACTAAAATAAAGCTAAAGGCAAAATATCAGTGTCTTGACTTCGAGTCATTCAGAAGAACCTGTTAAACGATTAAAACACATTTGAACCCTGTGACCTTGAAAATCAAACATGGATATTAAGTTGAACAAACTTCATAATCCTTCCTCCCAGAATGCAACTTGCCAAATAGCATCACCTTATACCTTTTGTTTATTGAGAAGATGACGTTTGAAGATTGATGCACTATGGACCAGATGTGACCATGAAAGTATGTCAAGGTCTTTTACATCGACATGCAATCACACTGTATGCTTTTATTTAACAACAAATCATGTCAACGCGTCGAGTATTTTAACACATTCCAACGTGCTTCCCCACCGGTTCGGTTGTTCAGTTCATATGACGCATTTATGTATAACACAGTGCTACTCTGGCAAATGTTTGTTTTATATACGTGCATCATATTGTTACCAAATGTACTGACACAACTTTGTTTGTCATCTAGTTAAATTGCAAATGTTGTCGCCTTGTTACTGTATATCAATTCAATGGCAGTTTGATAGCTTACTGAGGTGAACCACATGATTTATTAAGTATGCAGTCACCTGGCGCCTGTTATATAAGGTAGTAACGTATGCCACTTCACACACACACATTATTAATATATGCTAGCACGCTTA